TGGCCACCCATCCTGGTCTCGTTACCCAGTCTAAAGATGAGAGTGGCCACCCATCCTGGTCTCGTTACCCAGTCTAAAGATGAGAGTGGTCACCCATCATGGTCTCTGGAACCCAGTCTAAAGATGAGAGAAGCCAGCCATCATGGTCTCTGGAACCCAGTCTAAAGATGAGAGTGGTCACCCATCATGGTCTCTGTTACCCAGTCTAAAGATGAGAGGCAACCCATCCTGGTCTCTGTTACCCAGTCTAAAGATGAGAGGCCACCCATCATGGTCTCTGGAACCCAGTCTAAAGATGAGAGTGGTCACCCATCATGGTCTCTGGTAGCCAGTCTAAAGATGAGAGTGGCCACCCATCCTGGTCTCGTTACCCAGTCTAAAGATGAGAGGCCACCCATCATGGTCTCTGGAACCCAGTCTAAAGATGAGAGTGGCCACCCATCCTGGTCTCGTTACCCAGTCTAAAGATGAGAGGCCACCCATCATGGTCTCTGGTAGCCAGTCTAAAGATGAGAGTGGCCACCCATCATGGTCTCTGGTAGCCAGTCTAAAGATGAGAGTGGTCACCCATCATGGTCTCTGGTAGCCAGTCTAAAGATGAGAGTGGCCACCCATCATGGTCTCTGGTAGCCAGTCTAAAGATGAGAGTGGCCACCCATCATGGTCTCTGGTAGCCAGTCTAAAGATGAGAGGGCCACCCATCATGGTCTCTGGAACCCAGTCTAAAGATGAGAGTGGCCACCCATCCTGGTCTCTGTTACCCAGTCTAAAGATGGGAGGCCACCCATCATGGTCTCTGGAACCCAGTCTAAAGATGAGAGTGGCCACCCATCCTGGTGTCTGGTAGCCAGTCTAAAGATGAGAGTGGCCACCCATCCTGGTCTCTGGTAGCCAGTCTAAAGATGAGAGGCCACCCATCCTGGTCTCTGGAACCCAGTCTAAAGATGAGAGGCCACCCATCCTGGTCTCGTTACCCAGTCTAAAGATGAGAGGCAACCCATCCTGGTCTCTGGTAGCCAGTGTAAAGATGAGAGGCCACCCATCCTGGTCTCGTTACCCAGTCTAAAGATGAGAGGCCACCCATCATGGTCTCTGTTACCCAGTCTAAAGATGAGAGGCCACCCATCATGGTCTCTGGAACCCAGTCTAAAGATGAGAGTGGCCACCCATCATGGTCTCTCTTACCCAGTCTAAAGATGAGAGGCAACCCATCCTGGTCTCTGGTAGCCAGTCTAAAGATGAGAGGCCACCCATCATGGTCTCTGTTACCCAGTCTAAAGATGAGAGGCTACCCATCATGGTCTCTGGAACCCAGTCTAAAGATGAGAGGCAACCCATCATTGTCTCTGGTACCCAGTCTAAAGATGAGAGGCAACCCATCATTGTTTCTGGTAGCCAGTCTGAAGATGAGAGGCAACCCATCATGGTCTCTGGTGCCCAGTCTGAAGATGAGAGGCAACCCATCATGGTCTCTGGAACCCAGTCTGATGATGAGAAGCAACCCATCATTGTCTCTGGTAGCCAGTCTAAAGATGAGAGGCCACCCATCATGGTCTCTGTTACCCAGTCTAAAGATGAGAGTGGCCACCCATCCTGGTCTCGTTACCCAGTCTAAAGATGAGAGGCCAACCATCATGGTCTCTGGTACCCTGTCTAAAGATGAAAGTGGCCACCCATCATGGTCTCTGTGGTATCCAGTCTAAAGATGAGAGGCAACCCACCATGGTCTCTGGTGCCCAGTCTGAAGATGAGAGGCAACCCATCATTGTTTCTGGTAGCCAGTCTGAAGATGAGAGGCAACCCATCATGGTCTCTGGTGCCCAGTCTGAAGATGAGAGGCAACCCGTCATGGTCTCTGGAACCCAGTCTGATGATGAGAAGCAACCCATCATTGTCTCTGGTAGCCAGTCTAAAGATGAGAGGCCACCCATCATGGTCTCTGTTACCCAGTCTAAAGATGAGAGGCCAACCATCATGGTCTCTGGAACTCAGTCTAAAGATGAGAGTGGCCACCCATCCTGGTCTCTGTTACCCAGTCTAAAGATGAGAGGCAACCCATCATGGTCTCTGTTACCCAGTCTAAAGATGAGAGGCCACCCATCATAGTCTCTGGAACCCAGTCTAAAGATGAGAGTGGCCACCCATCCTGTTCTATTCTATGGAGTAATGTTCTATTCTATAGAGTAATGTTCTATTCTATAGAGTAATGTTCTATTCTATGGAGTAATGTTCTATTCTATGGAGTAATGTTCTATTCTATGGTGCAATGTTCTATTCTATGGAGTAATGTTCTGTTCTATGGAGTAATGTTCTATTCTATGGAGTAATGTTCTATTCTATGGAGTAATGTTCTATTCTATGGAGTAATGTTCTATTCTATGGAGTAATGTTCTATTCTGTGGAGTAATGTTCTGTTCTATGGAGTAATGTTCTGTTCTATGGAGTAATGTTCTATTCTATGGAGTAATGTTCTATTCTGTGGAGTAATGTTCTGTTCTATGGAGTAATGTTCTATTCTATGGAGTAATGTTCTGTTCTATGGAGTAATGTTCTGTTCTATGGAGTAATGTTCTGTTCTATGGAGTAATGTTCTATTCTGTGGAGTAATGTTCTATTCTATGGAGTAATGTTCTGTTCTATGGAGTAATGTTCTGTTCTATGGAGTAATGTAGGCAGTTGTGTTTGAGTAGGTCTGGAACTTTTGTTCCAATTTCATCATTTCGCTCTCAAAAAAAATACTTGAGGGGAAAAAATTGTGCCAATTTGATCTTGTTACCATGGTTATCTCTGTATGACATGTGACAGCATGCAGAACTTTTTGTTCCATCCTGCTTCATTATAAAATATAGTTGCCATGGTAATTATGTAGTGCTATAAGGGATTGTATTGTAATTTGTGATGT